CTCATACAGAGCCACTGGGGAAGGGTTTTGTAATACAGCACAGGGAAAAGGAGAGTGATAATACTTTTCTCCAGTCTCCTGGCAGTAGACTGTTAATATTTACCCTGCAGCAGCATTAATGCTTGGCATAAACCAGTTTAGGAGATAAACTGGTAGAAAACAGCACATAGTCTCCCTGGATGCACTGAGTGATTGACTGTTACCAAAAGGCCTTTGGACAGGATAGTTCTTTTGTTAGATAGTTTGGTTCATGGGAGCTTCCTGTTAGTGGCAGAGATGATGGGACCATAAAGCTTAGAGAAGAGAAGGAATAAAAAGGATTGAGTAATATTTTCCCTTTCTGGTGGCAATGAGCATTTAGTTCAGCTGCCTGTGGAACTGCAACTGGATGCTAAAGGGGAAAAAAACCTAAAAATTCAGGTCTTGATGGCTGAACTAGCTCATCATGGAGTCAGATAAGTGCCAATACCACTGTAAGGAGGGGAAAGGGAACATCTGGGTAGGGGTGCAGGAGAGAGGAACAGGAAAAAAAAAACCACAAAAAAACAAACAAACAAAAAAAAAACCAACAGGGAGGGAGAGGTTGAAAATGCAGGATAGCTTCTTTTGCCAGCATTTAGTCATTAGATTGGCTTAACTGCATCCTCAACATATGTTCTGGGGGAATGGAAGTGTGCTGGAGGATGATAAGAGAGCTAGCCTTGTGTACAGCAAATTGAAATCTTACCAGATTTTATTAGTTTAAGCTTTACACGATGTGAAATTAAACTGCTTCTGTATTAGCACTATACTTGGAAGGACTATAGCCATACATGAATAAGAAGCATAGCAAGAGTAGGTGTGCAGTATGTAAATCCTCCCATAAATAATCGTCAATTGACTGTGTTTGTCTCGCATAAGCCTCAGTGACACATACTACTGGTATGAGAGCTTAGTTGTATGAGTGCGCTTGTTCTTCCTTTGTCCTCTGATTTCTAATATAAGCGTATTTATAGGTATTTGTTAATAGTGTTCAGAGTAATGATTGGTTCTTGTTGGAGACATTTAAGTTTTGTCAATGCAGCTTTTAAGAGCCCAGTAATTTTCTGGGCAAAATAGGAACATAGTGCTACAGGACCATTTTTATTGTGCCACGTATAATTCATAGTATTGTGGTTTGAATGGCTGAGAAGCTGTAGCCATTCTTTGCATGTTATATCTGAGATTTTTTTTTTTTTCAGTTCAAACAGTCTCTTATAAATGTTGACTGGCTTATCTATGTGGAACTGTAAATAAGACTTTGGGGTGGAGAGGGGGAACACAGGTGAGAACAGAATCTAAATATTTTTCCCCCCCCTCACAGCAATGTGGAATTATGTATCTACTTAAAATAATTGTGGTTTTGCAGGGGTGTTTTTTGTTGTTTGCTTTTCTTTTCTTTTCTTAGGGAAAAAAACCCCTTCAGAATGTACTTCCCAAATACCACTTAAGTGACTGCATTTTCAAAAATGGCACTTTGCAATTAAGTTAGCAAAAACTGTGTCTTACTAGGATCTGGGTTTTGATGACAGAGATAGGAGGAGTGAGGAATATGAGCCTTGTGGAAGCATAATTAATTTTGTTACTTCTGTGATAATCAAACATGATTCAAATACAATCTTTTATATCCAGTTCAAAAAGAATACAATGTAGATCAGATCTTCATAAACTACAGCCATTTTAAGAACATCTTCTGAAAGTTAGTTTCATTAGTGTTCCTCATCTTCCTGCAGCCCAACACCAGAAAGTATCTGAAAGGTGAAAGACACTGAAATATTTTTGAGAACTGATTTTTGACTTAAAGTTAGTAGGATGATTACATAAGCACTCTGCAAACAGTTTAAATGAGCTTTAAATAGTGAAGATTCCATGCTCATCCATAGCTCTTCTGTTTCTCTTGCTTCAGCTAACTTTCCTTTTCCTGTTATTTCCTTGCAATCCTTCTGTATTTTCAGAATGAAAGCAAATATTTAAAATTTAGGGTTTATACCACTTGCCCTAATCTGTTCCCTGATCATGGGGATTTCTGTTTGTTGGGGTTTTCATTATCCTATAATATGCTCAGTGACTCTCATTTAGTTTTTTACAGTCTAGCTCAGCTGAGTAGGATTTCAGTGTTAAATACTCTAGGCCTTTCTTATTACCAAAAAATTAAGAAAAATCAAGTTTCACATTGGTAAGATTCAGCTGTCATTGTAATTTAATTTTCTTGTTATAATCTTATCATTGTTTCTCTCTTTTATCAGTTTTTGTCTGAAAGGTGAGGGATTGGATGGCAGCTTTCCAGCTGTCATAGATTATACACCATACTTGAAGTTCACCCAAAGGTACTTTTTATCTTTACACTGCTTTTTAAATTTTATTTCATTGGCAAAATTTTACTTCATACTGGGCCATTTACTTTTCATTTCACGTTCAAAATATATTCATATCTAAATACAAACCTGTACACTCAGCTACCTTGCTCTTTCAGAATGGTGGAATTATTACATGACTCATCAGAGTGAGTCATGCTAACTTTGTTTACTTGGAATCACAGTTCAGCAGTAAACGAATTTTTTATTTCCTTTGAAGATCACCAGGCCAAGTTGTCCTTTCTCTTGGGCCTTTTCTGTGTAGCCATAAACTTAGAAGTAGTTATTTTGTAAATAAAAATTATATATACCCAGTAAATTGTAAGATATGACAGGTAAGCAGTATGCAGTATGAGCAGTTAGCACATAATAGAAAATCATGACCAGTTGTGTATATAATCTGATCTTCCAGCTACATTTTGCTCCTCCGATCAGCCATATGATTAATAATAAAAAGAATGATCACTATCTAACAGATCAGATAGCAATTTGGCATCTCCAAAAAGCATGGAAATTAATGGGATGCATTATATTGTTAGGTTTGCCAAAATGAAGAAAGCAGTTGGGAGTTAGGAGTAGTCTTGAAGATGTACAACTGAACAAGAAACATCCTAGTTATTCTCTCAAAGTTCTTATTAGCTTACATGTTAATGACAAATTGCATGGTTCAGTTAAAGCAGAATTTGCATCACAGCAGGATCATGGGGTCTCAGGAATCACTGCTTAAAAAACTAGTAAATGTTGTTAATGTAGTGGAAAGCATAGTTGTAAGGGAAGATTTCAAATGGGTATTGGGATAAATTAAAATTCTTGTCTTTGAGACAGATGTCTGAATTCTGTGGCATACATTGATTCTGGATGTTATGGAGACAGTTTAACAATGAATCTGCATACTATGTAGCGAGATACTCATGTTCTGTGAAATAACAGGCACGTGGTCTTCGCTATAACTATAACTGTACATTCTCATTTAAATTTATCATGATTTAACATAACGACAATCGCTTCTTTTTCTGCATTTTTAGAAGTGAATACTATTTATTTTCAGATACTACTTTTGCGCTGAATTTGTGAAGGAAAGATTAAATCACCACTTCCTTAAATAGCATATTGTAATGCATTGGCCCTTTGTATTCTGGGAGAGTATCCCACATACAGTTGTCTGACTTGCGTAAGACAACTTGACTAAGATCACAAGCAAGTCTTTGCCCATTCTTTAGGTGGCTATACAAATAAAAGCTTGAAATATAAGTTGTATTTGGTGATCTATCCTATCCCACCATTCCGATTCTTTTTGGTTTACAGAGCTTTAGATATATTTAAGAACTGTGGTGCTTTAATTTCAAAGGGAATTTGCATTTTAACAAACACAGCTTTTCACTTGGCTAATAAATATGATCCTTCAGTTCTGACAGCATCAGCAGTGATGAAGAAGAGCTAAGGACGCTGGGTAGTAGTGGCAGTGAAGGCAGCACTCCGGAGAACATTGGTCCTCCTTTCATCACGGATGAAAACAGTTGGTACAACAAATGCAAAAGGGTAGAACAGAAGTATCGGCTTGCATTGGAACAGAAGGTAAAAGATTAGTTTGTGTTGGGGTGATGGAGCCAAAGCTCATCATAAGCCAACTGGTGACATATCCATTTATGTAAAGGCAGAAAAATATATTAAGTATTATTTAGCTTCATGTAAATGGTCTTAAATTTTATGATCCTCAGAGTATCTAAGTATCTTTGCTCATTAATTTGAGGGAAAAGAGGTTTGGAGAGAGGGGGAAGAGAATAATAATAATTTGGAGATCAGATTTCACAATCTAATGTAGAAGCTTTGGCTCCTTTTTCCAATCTCAGAATTAAAGGCAGTGTATCTCTGAAGCTGTTAGGTTGCGAGTTTGAAGTGTACACGACTGTTCACATGATTTTCCTCTTCCTTAGAGGCCATAGAATTTTATTGATGTAGGTAGACTGCCAGTTGAAGGCTTTTATAATGATAGTGATGTTAAAATTTAACATTTAGTCTTACAGTAAACAAAAAAGATCAGCAAAGTAATCCATCTAGGAATGAAAAGCAGAACTATCTTCTCAGTGATACTGAGATGGCTTTTTAGAAAATATAGTTTTAAGACCTGCTTCAAGCTAGAATGGGAAAGGAAAAAAAAAGAGTGTCTTTGTATTTGATTTTAATAATTTAGGTGGCATATTGAATGTTATTATAGAAACTAAAGGTAGGTTCTCCCTCTACCACCCAAAATACCGTAAGTTAAAGGTGAAGTGAAGTATATGCCCAAACTTTTTAGTATTTTTAAAAGCAAAGTGCTTGTCAGTTTTTCATAACAGCATATTACAACTACAGAGTCAACAACATGTATTAGCTAGTGGCAGACAGAAGGGGGGAGACTGTTCATAGACACCGAAGAAATTGTGCACAGAAAAAGAAAGGAGGGGTCAGGAAAAATGAAAGGGAAGAAAAATGAAAGACAAATGGTTAATGTGTTGAAAGAACTTTATTAGTATTTTTAGTATTCTTTTTTCCCAATGTCAGAATTTGATTTTGGTGAAACTCGGAACAGAGTAAACCATATGAAAGGCTGGAACTACATAATGGTGCTTGGAGGTGTAATTACTTCCCCTAGTTTAGGGCATTAGAATCAGAGAATTATCTCTCTGTCTTTCTAGTTTTTACTGTACTGAGAAGAAAAAAGAATTTTTTTTTTTTTTTTTTTTAAAAAGAAAAAAGGGGCGGTCAGATGGGATCTAGAATGGATCTTCTGCCAGCTGGGACTCAGTACATTAACTATGGCCCAGGTCCTGGTACCAACTCAGTCACATACATATTTAAATTCTAAGAATGATTGTTGGCATGGTTTTCACCTGGGACAACTAGCACTCTCCCTGATTATTTCAGGTCACTGTTTGTGAATTAGTGTTTGTCAGTGATCATTCCAAATAACCAGTATGACTTCAGACATGGTCCTTTGGAACTTGAGTTTTAGTATAGATATAGCCAGACTGAGAAAATATACCTGAGAAGGGGTCCTGGCTATCTTCAATTCATTAGGGTAAATGTAGCTATGGATTGCTAAATTCCAGCCTTAATATGGAATGTGTAGAATCAAAGTTGGTTTACTTTAATGCATGTGAGAGAACCTAGTTAAAGTTTTTCTAAGTAACCGTGAAAAAGTCAGACTTACTGTGGGATGCGAGAGGTGTTTTTTAAAAAATATGCATACAATTATTTCTTTTCTATTTTTGGTCCCTTAGACTTCTCATTTTTGAAATATGACCTTAAATGTTGCTGGTATGATTTTCTCAGCCAGTGTGGTATCACCTTCCATATGGAAAGAACTAGTGTTCCTTGGGGCTCTGTCTGGTACAGAGGACATTTTCCCTGCTGTTGTAAACCAAAATATGCCATTCAAAAGGAATCTCTTCATATATCTAAACAAAATGAAAACTTCTCCCTCCCCACCCCAACAGTCCTTGAAGCACAAGAACGTATTCAAGACAGCATTTCATCCTTGTGTCCAGACAAAAACATGGGATCGGTTTGAGCTCTGCTTTTCCCCCCTCCCCTGCCCTGATAATTGTAAAATATTTTGGGGTTTAATGAGGGAAGTGTCATCAGCTCTGGAGAAGCATTGAAGAGAACAAAATAGGTGGATGTTTATTTTTCTTGGTACATCTAGGTGGTTCATTTCCAAGGATACGCCGTGAAGTATACCCCATCAAAGGTGTGACAGTCATCTATAGAAACAATATTGAAACGTGGTGTCCAAATCCACTAGCCAGAATCACTAGGTAGCTTTACATCTACAAAAGCACAAAGATCTTCAGTGGCTGTAGCAGCAAATGGAGGTTTTGGTTTATTCACGACTCTAAGATCCAGAAACATTTCTATTCCATGGGAAGTTATTCATTGATCTGATACTGAGTATTTCAAATTTTTGAGCATTACTATTTTAGTGAGTCACAGTATTCCTTGTAGCATTCTCATAATGAAATGCCAACTTCTATAGTCAGCTAATGTAGGGGTGAATTCAAGTCAGTTTTATGATAACTCTTTGAAAACTTTGGTGCATTTAATACAATTTTCAAAATGATAGCTACTCTGACAGCCATTGACACTTTCCTAATTGTCCTCCTTTAGAATGCCTACTTGGCAATTGCAGCAGCAAAATAACTTTTTTATTCCTACAGACAGAAAATTTTCCATTGTCTAATTTTAATTTGGGATGTGCCTGCCAAATTTTTATTTAATTCACTTCAACTATACTACATCTGTTCTATTGTAACTTGAAAAAATGACCATTAAGAGGTTAGATGGACTAAGGAATAGAACTTCTTTCCTGAGTGTTTCTCTCCTTCCCTTTTCGGGACCTTTTCCATGGCAGTAAGTTGCAGCAACAATCAAGTTGCATACAGTGCAGTAGGTACCTGTTAATCAGAGACAAAGTGTTTTCTTTCAAACAAAGGGGCTTTCTGACATTCTGTGTGTTGGAAAACTGGATGTTTGTGACAAGAAGACCAAGTTGAAAATAATGTATTTTTAGTAACTGGTACAGTGGGTCTGATAGATCCTTCTTTTGCTCTATTGTCATTCACTTTGCACAAACAATGATAAATTCCTTTTGTGCCTCCTAAGTATGTGCAGTCATTAATAGCACAGGTGAATGAAGTTTACCAGGGTCACATATGACAAGTGATTGGATTTCAGCTAAGATAAAGGTATCTGTATCTTCTGAGATGTTTGAATGGTAGGATAGGGTCAGGTATTATTTTAGCAAGGTAAATCCTAGTGTTGCTTTATTGGATCAACAAAGCTATGCTGGTTTAGACCAAGAATCCTAGGTTATCCTACTATCCTACAATGGATACTTGCCCGAAGTAGTTGTGGAGGGTAGAATAAAAACAAAGCAAATGTATATGCACTGTTTTTCCTCTAATACTTGAATGGCCAACGCATATCAGCTCAAGGACTTCCTGAAGCTGATAAGCTTTGTCTGTTTAGTACCCCGTGATGGATCTCTCTTCCAAATACTTGTCAAATATCCCCTTGACTCCATGTAAATTTTTAGCATACAAATAATTTTTTTGGCAAAGCATTCTGTGTACCTACCATCTGTTGTGTGAAAAGCCACCTCCTTTTCTGTCTTTTGAATTTGGCTCCTACTAGCTTCGCTTCATGGTGCCTAGCTCTTGTATTTTAAAAAATGATGAACAGCCACTTCCTTCCTGCCCTCTCCAGGCTGCTCTGGAAATATGATGAGTTTGTCTTTTCCAAGTTGTCTCTTGTCCAGATTAATGAGTCATAATTTACACATTTGTTACTTATGTGGAAGTTATCCCTTCCCTATTTTGGAATGGTGTGAAATGTTCACTTTTCTGTAGTAAACTCCTAAATTCTTTGTGTACTGTTTATACTGGAGTTTTATATGCTTTTCACTGATGGGATGATGCATCTGCATGTCATTATAGATAGAGCTATTTACTGTTCATAGTATTCTGTTTCTGATACTGATGCTTCATGTCTAAAATCTTTTTAAAAATGTTTGATGTTTCTGGCAGGCAGGAAATTTGTGTATGTCCTAATACATCCTTTAGTACTTTCAAAGCACTACTTAGAGCTCCAAGGAGTACCTTCACAGTCAAGATAACAGTAACATTTGATGGGGCAGAACTAGGCATAATGAAAAGCTCTCAAGATTCCTTGGAACTTGTATTGAAACTAAAATAAATTCCTATCCAATATAAATATATCCAGTGGATAGAACTGTATGTAACCATAGAATCACAGAATAGTTGTGGTCGGATGGCACCTCTGGAGATTGTCTAGTCCAACTCCCCTGCTCAAAAAATGGTAGACTAGAGCAGGTTGCTCAGGGCCTTGTTCAGTCGGGCTGTGAATATCTCAAGGATGCAGACTCCCCAGCCTGTCTGGACAACCCGTTCCAGTGTTCATTTAAAAATAAATAAAATAAAGAAGTTTTTTCCTACTTTTAAATAGCTTTCTGTATTTCAGTTTGTGCCCTTTGCCTCTTTTCATTGATACCAAGTGAAGGGGAGAGTCTGACTCCATTCTCTTTACACCCTCTCATTAAATATTGATACACATTGATATGATTCTCTTCCTCCCTCTCTTCCCTCCTCTCCCAACCCTGGTCTGAGCAATCCCAAGCTCATTCTGCCTCCCCTCATATGAGAGATCCTCCAAACACTTAATCATCTTCGTGGTGATGAATTATATTAGTAGCATTTTACTGACCAGCTAACGTGAAACCTGTTTTCTTACTCAACAGGACTATGCCTGTTCTATATCTATGAAAACTACCTTTTTAAATTTTTTTTTTTTTTTAATGTGGGCACCTGTGAAAGAGTTACACGTTTTTCCACAGGGTTCAAGGAATGTGCAAAATTTTATGCAGTATAGACTTATTGTATCCAGCTTTAACTAAGAATTGATAAGAAGTTACTAACATCTGACATGCTGAGACTCTGCTTGAAGAAGAGAAAGAAATAGCTCCTTGGTGTTGTAACCAGATGTGTAATTAAATTAAATATGTGAACATACTTTGTGACCAACATGCCATCACAGCTGCTGTTAAATACTCACATCGTGGATTTTGGTAAATGACTAAGTCGTTGGAGTGTGATTAGGACTGCCCCATATCTTTTATAGTATCAGCTGTAAAAACAATGACATAAATGCACATTCCAGCTGTACATGACCAGTGTTACTAGAAGTGACCTTCACCAGTTGTCTTACCTTATGCTTTACTGTAGATGAATATTTACTTCAATAACTTTTTTCCTTGTCATTTTAATGTGTGATGTGGTATTGCAGTTTTCAAAGAAACTTTAAAATAATTTTGGATTTTTTAAAATAATAATTCTGGATCCCTTTCATTAACTATACAGATCCATATAGATACATTCTACTGTTGTCCTTCTTACACAGTATCTAACATCCTGCATCTGTTCAGTCGTAGAGTTCTGATCTTTTTCTTGCACTAGTGACTGTTCTATGTTGTTTTCAAAAAATGAAATAGTGTTTCATGCTGGTGGCATTCCCTTCTCATTGTTTCATCATTATTCTATTCCTCTGCAGGAATATAAATAGGCACATGATTTTCTTGGTACTTATTAGGAAATATCATACTAATCTTAAGTCAATTTACTAGTCTGTTTAAAAATTTAAAAAAAAAACCAAACTTACAACAAAACCAAAGTAGAACTGTATACATCTTAAACCAGAAAAATGTGAACATACATAATGAAAAGTTTTTTTGATAGTGTGTTCTTTAAGGCTTTCTAACACTTACATTTCCAGGGTTACCTTGAAGAATTGGTACGACTCAGAGAAAACCAGCTATCTGAATCTGTCTCACAGAATAAACTGCTGTTACAAAGAATTGAAGATATGGATCTAGCTCATAAAATGGAGAAGGAACAGCTGGAATATATCATTGTGGAACTGCAAGACCAGTTGTAAGTTAGTATAATGGAGAAATGTTGTTAGAGCAGTATTACTTAATTTATTTAACTTATTTAACTATACAATATGAAGAACTTCTGGTCCTGTGGAAATGAGTCAAACATCTTAAAGAAATTGATGTATTTTAGTTTTTTTTTTTTTTCCTGACAAGTCTTATATTCAGAAATGGCTCCCCTGAAAACTGCAGTAGTGTAAGACAGAATAATTCTGAGATTAATTTTTTTTTTTTTAAGATCTGAAATAGCTTACAGTAAACTTGCTTAAATTTTTAACACATTTTTATAAAATATTCTTTATATTTTATTACTTCCAGCTTTAAGGCTACCCTTAAAAAAAAGTACTGGAGGCAGCTTCCTTTTGAACACTGTTTTTAAAAATGTTAGGCAAGAGAGGATAAAGAAATACTTATTTTCTTTGCATAGATTCTATTTTATTTGTGTGGGGCTCAGACACAGTAGAATTGCATCTGGTAGTCCTAAAAATATTCAAACCAATGAAATAGTTTGCTACTCACCCTTTCTTCAATGCAAGGCAAAATGCTAAAACAACAGGAAAAGGCTTAATTTTTTAATACATATGTGACTCCTAATATGATAAATATTCAGGTAGTTTATCCTCTCAGCCCTGCCTGTTTGGTAGAGAGGTACTATCTATCAGATAGTAGAGACACACCCTGGTAGCAGAGACACACCCTGGTAATGTTTAAAGACCCAGATAGATGGAAGACTCACTGTGTGGTGATAAATTGCCATGAGACTGCTATAGTATGCATCTGAAGTAATTGTATGTTCCGTTCTGTTCATAACAAGATAAATTATTTCACCTTATATCTGGAGTAATATGTATGTGTCTGAACCCTGAAGTAAAATGGAAGTCATCTGTGGCCTTTGAAACAATCTAGGATGAAGAGAATATAAAGACGGCTTTGGGGTACTTTGGTTCCCTCTGCCTAATGTCTCACAGAGACACTACCTGGAAGGGTCTTTTCTATGCATTAAAAAGTACTTCTAGCTTGTAAACAAAGCTTTTTCTCTTTTTTTTTTTTTTTTCCCCCTCTCCCCTCCCCTTTCCGCTCTCTGTCTTGTGGTAGATCATTTTATTGCCACTGCTTGAAATGGATTTTATGAAAATCCTCAGGAATACAGCATTTGCATTTTATTTATGCCAGTTTCAGAGTTGAGGAAGAAAAAAGATGGTTTTCCAAGTCTGTCTTTTTTTTTTTTTCTTTTTCTGATTGCCTGTAAGCTTTTGAGAGATACCTGTTCTTGAGTTCTTTTCTGAACTTACTGATATAGCTAATGATTCATGTTATACTTCTTTAAAGGGCCTCCCTGATTATTTGGGGGGGGGCAGGGGGTGGGGAAGTGTAAGCTCATTTAAACCCACTCTGATACTTGGAAATTTTGAACGTTCAAACCTGCTGTTAATTTTTAGCTGAGCTATATGCAATCAGACTGTTCTAAAGATCTCATTCTTTGTGTTTTGGTTTTGTTTGCTGGCCTTCTTATGTAAAGGCTCAACTTGTGGAGCAGTTTCTGTTTTATCTTGACAGTGTGTTCTTGTATAGCCGTTTATGAGATACTGCGATCAGGAGCCTGGACTACACTAGATATTTGGAGAGAGAGGTATAATTTTGCATTGTTATTGCTGTGAGTGTAGTGTGCCTCTCAGATGAACTCTTCTTAAAGTGTGTTAGGAACTCATAGTTCCTTATTGGGGAGAGGGAAGGGAAGAAACATTCCTAGCAGGTTTCTGATGGTGAACAACACTCATAGTTAACATCTTGTAATCATTCTTTCATAGCTCTTTTTTCTTTCTTTTTAATTCTGACCAAGGGTGACCTGGCAGCAGAATATGTTGTATCAGTAATGTGTCTGTAATAAGGCATGAGTTTTGGCCAATTGCTTTTTATGGTCAGCTGTTTTAGAATGGTGTTCATGTAATTCCAAATCTTAGTGTTTTGCTCCCCTACCATTAGTAGCATTTTGAATTAGTGAATGTATGCTGTAATCTTTTTGAATTCTTTACCAGCAACTAAGAGCAAGTTTGGGATTGTAATTCTGCCTGAGGCATATTACATTACTGTTTGTAAAACACTTTGAGATCTGATTTAGGATCATTTGCTGTGTAATGGACACTATTATAAATAAACATTCTATATTTTCTTTTTAATGATGCTTTTCTTCTATTCCACTGGCTGTTGTTGTTAAGGTAGCAAGTTCTACCACTTCAACTTTCTGTTGAGTAAGTATTTGTTGATGTTTCCAAAATGGTGTTTCACAGGCATGCAAATCAAAATGTTTTACGTATATTCTCAATGGATTTGGGCAGAATCTGAGTCTATGTCTAGGTCTGCCTCCCAAAAAAAAAAAAAAAGTGGGGATGGGTAATAGAGATCTTACTTTCTTGGCAGTATAGGTTGTTATTGTTGCTGACTTGGAAACCAGATAACACTAGTGATCAACAAGGCCTTCAGGTTATAAATTAGATTACCTACAGAGAAGCTTTTCCATATTCACATTTAATAAGGCAGTTTGCTGTACAGCATGAAATAAATATGGAGATAGGAGATTGGAGAAACTTGGAAGTAATTTTTTTTTTTTACAGCTGCTATGCAAAACTTAATGTTCTACAATTTTCAGTATTCTTAACTTTGTCTTACACGCTTGAGTATCCAAACTACAATGAACAAAACAGATTTCAATGTCGTTAAAAGCCATTTCATGGACCTCATGAATACCAGTATCTGGAAAACAGTGAAGCTGAAAATTTATCAAATCAGTTATTCACAAGAGAGTAACATTTGTTTGTGTCTCTCAATTTAATTGTATTTCTTAGTAATATGGGGATTGGATGTCTCACTTTGCTGGTAGGTGTCTGATGGCAAATCAAATTAGACCACCTGATCATCAGTCAGACACATTTAAACTAATGCACAGCTGATCAAGAAGAAGGTTCAGACCAGATATGAGGAAACATTTCTTTACCAAGAGAGTGGTCAAACACTGGAACAGGCTTTCTAGAGAGGTGATCGATGCCCCATACCTGTCAGTGCTTAAGAGGCATTTGGACAATGCCCTTAATAATATGTTTTAACTTTTGATCAGCCCTAAAGTGATCAGGCAGTTGGACTAGCTGATCGTTTTAAGTCCTTTCTAACTGGAACTATTCTGTTCTATTCTAAGAACAGCTTGCTCTCTTACCACTTTCAGCATATCCAGATGAAGTGATTGCCTAGTGATATGTGTCAATTGTAAGAAAGACGAGGCATATTCTGGCTTTCATTTACTTTCTTCAGAAGTGTTTGCCGTCACTGGGACGTGTTTTTGCCTGGGACTTGTTGTAGTTTAACATTAGAGAACAGTGCTTTTGGCTCCACTCTTCTATAGAAATAGTGTATTTTTACAGTGATAGTGGGGCAGTTCTTAAGGCCTTAAAGTGCTTAAAATTAACAGCTCTTAAGTGCTTAAAAATAACAGCTCACAGGAGGACACCCAAGAGAAGCCTGTGATCCATGGCGTGTCTAACTGAAGAAAACAGTTTTAATTCCATAACATGCAAAATTTATGCATGTTATAGAGAGGGATCCCAAATCATCAAGGAACTGTATCCCGGAGTATTCAAAACTCACAGAGGCAGCTATTTCTTCCTCCTCTAAGATCCTGCAAAGAAGTGTTGAATGTCTTTTGGAGCAGAGAGACATTTGATTGCGCACCCCATCAGTAAAAAAATTCTGAGCACATTCCCCTAATATAGGTATATTTATTTATTTATAAATTATATACATGTACTACTGTTGTACTAATATATTATGTACATTATAAAACATACACAAAAGTAGAAATTGAAAAGGATGAGATAAAGATTAAATAAACACTATTTTAAAAAATTTTTTCATTTATTAACAGTACAAAAAGTATTTTCTTCCCGTACCACAAAGGATTGTCTTACACACCCCACTTTTGAGACCACCGCCTTGAAGGACTAGTTGGCTCAGTCAAAGAAGTGACTGGGCAACGTCTGGAACTGTTTGCCCACAACATCCTTACATTAAAACTCTTTATCTCAGCTTAAACAGGCTTTTTTTTCCCCCCTTAGGGTGATTCTTAGTCTTTCTTTTGGCTAACACACTACCTGTGTCTAAGGCAAACTCTGCTGATCTTTGTCACTTTAAAGTTCAGATTCTGCATCTGAAATTGATATTTACATATGTTAAATATTGATGTATGATTACAAAAGAGATTCCATCAATTTCCTGAATAGTGACTCATCTCCTGCATAGTGACTCATTGATGTTATAAAAGCTAATCACTTTAACAAAAAAATCTTTTTAAATAAAGTGATAAGGAAAAAGGAAAACATTGTATACAAAGATAAAAAAAAAACTCAAAATGCTTTAAAATTTTTTTCTTCTGCTGTGATTTTTGTTGAAATTATGATAGTGATTTACGTAATGTTTACTGACATGTGTTTCCTCCTAAGGTATTTTTCATGTTTTCAGGCTGGTGTGCCTGGTGTAAGATGGTACAGCCTCTTTGTCCCAACTGGTGCAATATTTTAATCTTTTTTTTTTTTTTTTAATTTATCATATGTATTGAAAAATTATTTCTTAGATTCAGTGGCTATATTTTATACTGCTCTGTTTTTTATCTCCCTCTACTGTTTCTTCCTATATCCCTGTCTTGTTCTGCTGTTTTGTGGAGGGGCATGTGGAGGGAAGGAAATTCAAGACGACTCTTCTGTGTTTGGAATTCTGTCTTTGGTTATGACACAAATAAGACTCAAATTAAATTGTAGGGACAGTGGCGTCTTACATTGTATTAAGCTTGTCTATATAATTTAGAATTTTTTGGTTTAGCAAATCTTAAAGCTAGGTTTGTTTAATTTGTCTGGCTGTTGCTTCAGAATTGGTCAGTTTTTTCAAGGCCCAAACAGTGCTTGTACTCCATTCTTAATATTCTAATACAGCTGTCTGATAGATCCAGCAATACTG